CACACACACACACACACACACAAAGGGCATGTACATATTGGTGGTAGAAATTGAGGGAGGATGTTTAGAGATTCAATCATAAAACCTATACATTAAAGAAGTTTGCTTGCTAAGCCTGTTTTTCAGGTTTCTTCACTTAATGTACTAATACGGATCACAATGTATTGAGAACTGGGTTGCAGATCAGCGTACAGCCATATGCTGTTTGCAAGATGCACATCTGAAATGATGCAGGATGAGAAGAAAACAGTAAGGAAACCATGACAACAGCTGATAGAGTAGGATGGAAGGCAGAAACATTCATTTTCATTAGAGCAAGAATGCCTCTAAGGATAAGGAGAAGCCTTCATGAAGACAGAGCATTCTGGAACATCTGGATGTCTTCCCATCAGCACACCTGAAGAAAACCCGTTCATGCCACATGCCATGGAGAACTGATGGCAGGTTTTAGCTCGGTTTTCTCAGTTTCACAGCTGATGTCAAAACAGTACCTCAATAGACATTGAGGGTTTTTTTTAATGTGACAGAATGAGCATTATTTCAATTATTTTTTTCTAGTGCTAGGAATTGAACCCTGGGCCTCACACATGCGGGGCAAACACTCTACTCCCAGAGCTACACTCTCAATCCTCAGTCCACATTATTTTAGTTTTATATGACAATTTTGCAAGACTTGGTTCTGTCCTAAGGCATAATGGAAGCCTCAGCATAGTCAAAAGCAAAATTCTAGGATTCATGTCCCTTGACCACAGTGATAACAAAAGGACAAGTTCCATTAACACGCTCTTCTGAACAACCTGAGAGTTAGAGAGACAGTAAAGTCTTCAGTCTTGAGAAACATGGACAGAGCACAGCTGAGATTTTCCTCAGAGAAAACATCCGCCATGGAGAGCAGAGCTGCTCAACCACAGCACATTGGGTTGTTTCGGGGTCTTTGTTCAGGGTCAAGGGTGGAGGGCAGCCATCCTACATCTGTAGGGAGTATTGGGTTGTTTTGGGGTCTTTGTTCAGGGCCAAGGGTGGAGGGCAGCCATCCTACATACTGTAGGGAGTATTGGGTTATTTTGGGGTCTTTGTTCAGGGCCAAGGGTGGAGGGCAGCCATCCTACATCTGTAGGGAGTATTGGGTTGTTTGGGGTCTTTGTTCAGGGCCAAGGGTGGAGGGCAGCCATCCTACATACTGTAGGGAGTTTGACAGCATCCTTTCTACTACCCACCAGGTGTCAGGAGCAGCCCCCAGTTGTGAGAATGAAAAATGTCTTTAGAGACTTCAGATGCTTCCTCTTGGTGAAGTTGCTCCTGTTGAACCCTTGATCTAGATCTAGGTGTTTCTATACCAAATAAAGCTCTGTATCAAAAGTAACCTGTGGCGCATGCAGTGAGTGTTGAGGACAGGCGGTCAGGGTTCACTAAAGACCAGAGAAGCTGCTGAACTGAATTTCAGATGGAAGAGTCCTTCTTCTGATACCCTTCTGGGCCTCCACAGACACTGAACACACATGTCACACAGACATACAAGAAGGCAGTACACCTGTACACATAAAAATATAAAATCTCACAATAATAACAGGTAAAAGGCCCTTCCCTTCAAAGCCTGACAACCCAGCACCAGAGCTGTTCTTTGACCTCTGTATAGCACGAGCATCACACACACACACACACACACACACACACACACACGCACACACGCACGCACGCACGCGCACAAAAAAAATCATGGTTTTGTTATGGAAAACAAAGACAATATTTTCCCACCATCTTCCTCAGCATTTAAGTGTTAAATTAGTGCATCTTTTTAATTGCTTTTTGGGTTGCTGATGTATTTCAAAAGAAGTTATTTGGTTAATTTTGGCTTAGGGCTAGAGCAGGTCTGACATGGTGCTAAACATACTTCAGCCTTTGTGTGCTATGTATTTATGCAAAGTAGTTTCAGCATCAATGGTTATAAAATCAAAATACAGATCGACTCTGAAAAACATGGAAGATGTTCTCCATCCTGCAGTACCAGAGTTCAGTCAAGATTTAATTCTTCATGCAAAAGTAAATAAACACATTCATCTCATTAGTATGAGGATTTGCCTCCATCTTTTATGTGCCAGAGACTTGTTTTCAAATAAATCCCTTCACAATTTCTTATCAGTTAAGTGTTGGACTTGTACACCTATTTTATTCTATTGTATACCCAGGATCATGTAAAAGTTTCTTGGATGATAAAGGGGTCACATATGTGTCACGGGATTTCCCGCCCGGTTCTGCAACCACCTTGCCCCAAATGAAATTCAGAGACTTACATTAACTATAAAGCTGTTGACCGGTGGCTTGGGCTTCTTATTGACTAGCTGTGTCTTAATTATTAACCATTTCTATCAATGTATGTATTTCCATGCGGTCTTGGCTTACCAGAGAATGCCTTGTGTGTCCTCTCTTCCCAGGCTCACATCATGACTGCTGTCTGCCTATACTTCCCAGAATTCTCCTCCTCTAATAGCCCCACCTATCCTTCCTGCTTGGTCACTAGCCACATAGTGTTTTATTTATCAACCAATAAGATAAACATATACACAGAAGGACAACCCCATCACATGTGGAAAAAAATACTCAAAAAGCTCTGTCCTAGACATGCTCATGGAAGATTAGAGACCCACAATTAAGAACATAATCTAAACAATACAATTGATGCTAGCCGATAGATGGTGCCCTACTGCATCACGACCACAGCCTACCACGTCTGTGACTAGAAATTCAAGACGAAGCAACAAGAAGCAAAATTAGTCACTTATAAGTTGCTAGAGTCTTCTTCAAAACTCTAGGGTCAAAGCAAAAATAAAGAATGAAATGCCTATATATAAAAGAGATCAATAACAAAAGTCTTACACAATATTCTTTGGGGCTAGAGAGATGGCTAAGCAGTTAAGAGCACTTATTGCTCTTGCAGAAGACCCAAGATCAGGTTCCAACACTCACATGGTGGCTCACAACTCCAGTTCCAGGGAATCTGACACCTTCTTCCAGCCTCCAAGGGCACCAGGCAGACAAGTGATGTACAGACATGCATGCAGGCAAAACACCCAACCACATAAAATAGATCAAAAATAAAAATTCTTACACAGTAAAGTCTATGGGAAACACTTAAGGACGGGTTTCACATTAAAATGTTGTTTTAAATTGTAGGGAAAATGTGTGTGAAGACACTCAGGCATAGTGGGTGTATGGGAGCCAGAGATCTGCTGCTTTCATTTTTCTTTTTCCCATTTTCGTGTGTGTGTGTGTGTGTGTGTGTGTGTGTGTGTGTGTGTGTTTACATGTATGTGGGCACTTGTCTGTGACTGTGTGTGTGCATGAGTGTTCATATGGAAGTCTGAGTTTGATGGCAGGAATTATCCTCTGTTATTCTGCTTTATTCATTGAAAAAAGGTCTCTCAATCACACCCAGAGCTCAGTGACATGGCCAACTTGCTCTGAAGATTCGGTCTCTGCCCTCAAGGCTGGAATTACAGGTGGGCCACCATGTCCACCTGTCATTTACATGAGGTCTTCACCCTCAAGCTTAACCACCAAGTCATCTCCCTAGCCCTGCTCTCATTTTTAAGTCAGGGTCTCCCCATCTTAAACCTGGACCTTACAATTCTAGCCAAGACCCCCAGGATCAATCCAACTATCTCCATTTCATCCCTCCCCTAAACCTTCCCCTCACCCCACCTGCCAGCCCTGATGCCAGGGTCACAGAAGAGCACCTGATGCTCCGTTTTTATATGCATGCTAGGGATCTGAACAGGGGTCCTAATGCTCACACAACATGCTTGTTACCCAGTGAGCAGTTTCCCCTGCTATTAACACTATTAACAATAAAACAGAGGGAAATACATTTTGAAATGTAATTCAAAATTGAGGGAATTCAACAATAATCTTTATAAGCCAGAAGGAGAGTTTAACAAAGAGAAAATTAGATATTAGAGAACAGAGAAGGAGGAGAGATAAATTTGAGATCTTGTTTGTTTGTGACAGGATCTCACTATGTAATTCAGGCCATTCTGGGATTACAAGCATGTGCCACCATGCCTACAGAGATCTGTTTCTTTTTGTTGTTGTTGTTGTTTTATAGGCAGTGTTTCTCTGTGTAGCTCTGGCTGTTCTGGAACTTGCTCTGTAAATCAGGCTGGCCTCAAACTCAAAGAAATCCCCCTGCCTTTGTCTCCTGAGTGCTGGAATTAAGACATGCACCACCAGACCCACCCCACTCTCACCTCGTGTGGGGATTAAAGATCTGTGATCTGATTCTTTTAAAGAGAAGTTTTGAAGCCCCACATAAAATAGAAAGCCTATTCGCTTGCTTAATGAAGAAAAAGTTGAGAACATGTGGGCACTTAGAAATCAGAGAGAGGAAATAACAAATGCAAAGGAAATAAAAGTAATTCTAAGAATGTTAGTGTAAGCCTAAATGAACCATGCAGTTATACTGTGTTTGTCTGGGTCAAGGGCACACATTATTTCTAAATCCTGCAAAGTAGTCAGAGTACACATCTTGCAGATGAAGAAACTGAGGCCCAGTGAGGTCAAATTTGGCTGGTGTCACCCCTTGGCAAGTGCCTGGGCCAGGATTCAGAAGTGGGCTTCTGGCATCTGCACTCTTGGCTGCTTATTGCTGCACAGACAACAAGGCAGAGCGGTGTTCAGCATGGGGTTTGTATCATGAGATGATCCATTCACAGCTGGACTGAGTCCCTGTAGGGGTGCCATGCTGATCATCTGCCCAGGGCGGGTGCCAACAGAGTGGCAAAGTGCCAAGGGACTCTGGGGACTTCGAAGGTGCTCTGCATCATGCAGAGGTCGGGGGAGAATGGAACTCCACCTTCAGATTCTCCTATGGGGATCCCCGGGGGAAGCACAGCCCAGTGTGGAAACGGCAACTCTCACCCACAGGCTCCTTCTCTGAGACTGAGAGGCAGGTGCGGTGATTGCAAGGCAGAGCCTTCTAACACAGTTACCCTGTCCTCTCTCAGATCCAGGAGATGGTCCACTCAGAGGTAGCTGCCTATGACTCAGGCCGACCAGGGCCCCTGCTGGGCCGCCCAGCGATGCTGGCCAGCCACATGAGTGCCCTCAGCCAGTCCCAGCTCATCTCTCAGATGGGCATCCGGAGTGGCATCGCCCACAGCTCCCCATCACCCCCAGGGAGCAAGTCGGCGACCCCCTCTCCATCCAGTTCTACACAGGAGGAGGAGTCAGACGCCCATTTCAAGGTGTGTGACGTGGAGGGGTGTAGCTACAAGGTACCTCCCCAGTGGAGAAGGGGCTTTGCCAGGTCATGGCATCATGTTCCTCTGGAAAAGACAGGAGGCTTGGTCTTCTGTTGGAAACCAAGAGTCAGCACATGGGCCTCTGGCCAGAAGAATGGCACCTGGGCCCTAGGGAAATCAGGCTGTGGCTACTACTGACTCTACCGGAGACCCTCTCCTCCAGGCACATGCTGGCCCTGAAGAGGCCCAGAGCCCAGTCACGGTGTCCATGATAGGAGGCCCTGAACTGACCAGGGTTGTGTGTGTTTCTCCTCATTCTGGTCCAGATCCATTCTCAGGATGACCTGGCCTATATCACAGGCCATGTGGGGATGATTTCCTTCTCCCTCACCTCTTCCTCCCCCCCTGCCCTCCTTTCTCCCCCCCTCCCCACCTCTTTTTGCCTTCCTTAGTTTCTACACATTCCTGGGGACTTAACCTAAATCCTTGCCTGTGCCAAGCAAGTGCTCTTTTGCCAGGCTGCTATGGTTTCTTTTTTGTTGTTTTAGCTAACAAACACTTCTATGGTCTGGAGTTATAGCTCCATTGGTAGAGTATTTTCCTAGCATGCTCCGAGCTCTGGATTCAGTCCCCACACCACATAACCTAGATGTGGTAATGCATGCCTGCAATCTTAGCACTTAGGAAGTAGAGAGGAGGGATCAGAAGTTCAAGGTCACCTTAAAGCCCAATGTTATCCTACATAGCAAAGTTGGCTGTCTCACAAAAACAAACAAAAAACAAAACTCTGTAACCCACAGATCAGACACTTCTACAAACACACAATAAACATTCATCCCTCTAGTTCTCATAACAATCCTACGTGGTAGGTAATATGCATTGCAACTCTCTGGGTATGAATTCGGGCTGTACAGCACTCATATGTTAATTAACTACTCCATGCCTTGGTTTTCCCATCTGCCAAATGGAGATAGTGAATATTACCTACCATGTGTATGCACCCTGAACATATCTGACAGCCTTTATCAATCCAGTGACCTGCCTTCAGAACTGGGGCGATGGGAAAGTGCTTGCTGTGTAAGCATGAGGACCTGAGTGCTAGCACTGGGGAGGCAGAGACATCAGGATCCCGGGAGCTTGCTGGTCGGCCAGCCTATCTAAAGAGACACTCCAGGCCAATAGGAGACCTTGTCTCAAAAACATAAAAAGAATAAGAAAAAAAGATGTACAATACCATAGTAACCACACTTGAGATGGACTGCTGTCTTCCACACCCATGTGCATATACATGCATGTATACTCACACATATAAACACACACACTCACGCTCACACACACACACACACACACGCTCACACTCACACACACACACACACACACACACACACACACAGACCCGTTTTCAGGACTCACTTTGCCAAGGCTTCACCAAGGGCTTATGGGGTAAAAGCCTGGAGAGTTCCCCAGAACACTTGGAACACAGCCAGCATTGCTGCAGGCCCTGCCAGATTCCCTGCTTCTCAGACATGTGGTCTGAGTCTATCCACAGGCCCAGAACTTGCCATCTGTTGATTATCCTGCCTTCATCTTGTTGGCATACAGAAGCACAGACCTCACTGTAGGATCCAGGCCTTGGTCCAGAGGTCTAAGAGTCCCCACAGAGAACAACGGGGGTCTGTGAAAAGCATCCCAACACCTCCTCATCCTGGAAACCCTAAGTCAAGTGTGTTTGAGACCATGGCCTAGAGCCTGTTCAGGTGGATCCTCTGACTGGGTGGCAGCCATGTTACCCTAACCCTTCCCAACACCAGAGAGATTCCGGGGGAGAGCCGTGGTCTGGAGTCACAGCTGAAGTGCAGGGAAGGTGGTCTACCCTTTATAATCAGAGGCATTAGTTGGATATTATTTATGATCAGGATGGGTGGCAGAATAGTTGAGAAAAACATGGGGTGAGACCTAGAAGCAGGCCCCCGGCAGCTGGACCTTCTTATTCTTACAGATGCAGAGGGTGTGATAGGCGCATGTACAGCACTTCATTGTCTAGGAGAATGGACCCTTGGCTTCTTATTTCCATTTTGTGAGACAGGGTCTCCTTATGCTGTCCATACTGGCCTTACTATCTCAATCCTCCAGCCTCAGCCTCCTCAGTACAAGGCTTACAGGCCTGTGCTACCATGCCTGGCTTTAGGCCTCTGTCATTACTCAGTATTGGTCGGGAGATTTTGAAAGTCTGCAAAAATAGATGTTAACGTGGCAGGGGACAGAGTACTAATAAAACAGGAAAGGGTTTTGTTTAAATTTGGAAGTGATATAAACACAAATGGTTTCTGTCCCTGGGGAAGGACAGAGAGACACAGAGTGCTGATTTTATTGCTATCTGCGACACCGGCCAGCCTCACCGGCACGTTAGTGTTCTTGGCCTGACAGTCTCCGGGGACTTTCATGGTTCTTTGAATGGACACACGTGCTGGTTCTTTCTAAACAGTTAAACCTGGACCTCAGGCTGCTACCCAGGGTGCCTGGGCATCTGTCTTTCTGTTGCTGTATGCCTCTGGGTCTCTCTGTCCCTGAAATCTGTGTCTCTATGTGTATTTGTACGTTGTTCTGTTTGTGTCTGTTTCCCTGTATCTCTACATGTATGTATGTATGTATGTATGTATGTATGTATGTATGTATGCATTTATAAATGTTGTATGTATGTATGTATGTACCTGTCTGTCTGTTATCTGGTTCGTGTGTTCATGTATGTCAACCTGTGTATATGTGTCTGTTGCTACCCTCCTTCAAATGCATGACAGTGTAGGCCAAGCTGCCTGGGTATGACCTCGTGGTGGGGCAGTCCTTTCTCTGCCTGGAAAGAGAACATGGCTGGATGGGTCTGAGGTTGACCCAAGGTTAGCTAGAGCCACTTGGGCTAGGAGTTCCTTGGCTTCCTTAGTTTCCTGACTCCTCTCATCTGGCAGATCTCGGGAGAGAAGAGACCCTCAGCAGACCCGGGCAAAAAGGCCAAGAACCCAAAGAAGAAGAAGAAGAAGGATCCCAATGAGCCACAGAAGCCTGTGTCGGCCTATGCTCTCTTCTTCAGAGACACCCAGGCCGCCATCAAGGGCCAGAACCCCAGTGCCACATTCGGGGATGTGTCCAAAATAGTGGCCTCCATGTGGGACAGCCTAGGAGAAGAACAGAAACAGGTGAGCCTTGGTCCCCTCAGAACTGTCCCTGAGACTTTGGGCCCTGGAACAGGCTTGGCCTCTGGGACTAGAGGCTCCTGCAGGAGATGGGGGGGTTTATACTTTGTTTGCCCATCTGCAAACAAGGAAACAGGGTTCCTTCATCCCTGATGACCCCAGTGCTGTGCACTACTGCCTTCGCTGAACCCCTGCTCCCCCATCCAAAAGCCAGGGAGCATCTCCATCCACATCTAGCAGTCCCCTCCACTAGGACCTTTCTGCCATGTGATCTCTCTGAAGGCCTCTAGATGGAAGGAAGTAGGACCGGCTCATGCAGTTGGAAATGCATTACCAGCTAGTGACCTCAGACTGACGACCTAACCTCTGTGAGCCCTGGCCTCCCTACTACCATGCTTGGAGCATGCCTAGGCTAAGCACTATGGGGATCCCCTCCATCACATTGCTGCACCTTTACAACACGCCAGGGAGTCGCCATCCATTGGCTCTTTGGAAAGTGGAGGGTGTGGTGAGGACTCCTTAGGATCCTGTCTTGCACAGCGAGGACTCCTTAGGATGCTGTCCATGGGCATGTGGGACGCACAGAACAGGAACAAGCTGGGGGCAGAGACGTGGATCACAGATGTGAGTTGGGTGTGTCTGTTATCCTATTTGGCAATGTCGAGATTTTGTGGAATAGTCTAAGGCTGGTGGTTTAGGAAATAGGCTTAGATCTGTTGGAAAGAAATGGAGACAAGAGACGGGAAAAAGCAGAGGACATCGTCAGAGAATTCCCGCAAGAGGAGCTGTGGACCCAACCCCTTGTCCTTGTTAACCCGCCTGAGCTGCAAGGGTGCTGGATGAACCCCGACTTTGTTAGCCATTGGCTGAGAGCTGCTCCAGGGGAGCATACTCCTCTCACATTTCTGGTCTCAGTCATGTGACAGGTCAGGGTCTTGCTCCTAGGAAGAGATCTGTGATGGGGACTTTGCTGTTAGCCTTGGATGCTGTGTGTGCTGCTGCTGCTGCTGCAGCGGGAGGACCAGGGAGGCTGGCAGCCTCCACACTAAGACCTTTGTCATTCTCTCATGCTGTGGGTTGTGCTGGGCTCAGCAGCACGGTTCCTCAGCTACCCTTGATGGGAGCTGTTTACGCTCCTGCAATCAGCTGCAACACAGGAGGCCGCTCTTCTTCAAGAAGGTAGATGACTGAATCTCGTGTGTCTCCTGGGCTAGCCAGGTGTCTTAGTCACGGTTCTATTGCTGTGAAGAGACACCACGGCAACTCTCACAAAAGAAAGCATTTAAGTGAGGGCTTGCTTACAGTTTCAGAGACTTAGTCCACTATCGCCACACCAGAGAGCATGGCGGCAGGCAGGCATGGAGCTGGAAAAGTAACTGAGAGTGACATCCTGATCTGCAAGGGGACAGAGAGAGAGAGACAGAGAGACAGAGAGAGAGACACAGAGAGAGAGAGACACAGAGACAGAGACAGATAGCAGACAGAGAGAAGTAGAAAGACAGAGACAAAGAGATATATCCTGGCTTTTGAAACTTCAAAACCCACCTCTAGTGACATATTTCCTCCCACAAGGCCACACCTCCTGATCCTTCTCAAATAGTGCCACTCCCTGGTGATGCTACTCCCTGGCGACTATACATTCAAGTATATGAGTCTATGGGGGCCAATTTTATTCAAACCACCCAGCCAGGCTTGTTCCCAGAGCAGCCAAGTGCCATCCCAGAGTCTAAGCACTTTTCAAGTTTTCTGCATTAGTTTATTCTTATGCCACTGGCCAAATAGTCTCAAAGCTGAGCCCCAAGTCACTGTGAGAGAGTTCTACTTAAAAGGCAGGGACAGAGTGAATGTGAGACACGCTAGGGTCATTCCAACAGTAACTTGTAAACTGAGGTCTAATGCTAATAGTAGCAATCGTAACAAATATGTGTAAGAGCAGGGTTTGCGTCAGACTGCAGAGTGCAGTGTTAGGATTAGGGTGTTATGCTGGGCCAAAAGAGAGGCTTCTGGGTAACGTGTCTTTCTGTAGTCACTTGTGACAACATCATGGTTGAGGAACTGGTGTGTAGCCTGGCTCCTATACTCTGCTGCAATACTCTCAACAGAGAGGGCAGGGGGTGACTGACCCAGCTTCTGACCCCACAACCGTCATCCATGCCTGGCCCTGAGATCCACACTTGTCACCCCAGCCTCTGCACTGAGGCTCCTCTGTGACATTTTCTCCAGAGTTGCCCATGTCTCGGATCTTTCAGGCGTATAAGAGGAAGACCGAAGCTGCCAAGAAGGAGTACCTGAAAGCCTTGGCGGCCTACAGAGCTAGCCTTGTCTCCAAGGTAACGTAATAGGCAATGTCCTGATGACTTGAACCAAGGGCGGAGGCTGGTGGGAACAGCGGGTACCACTGACCTCGGAGAGGATGCATGGCACCTGTGTGTCACGACTTGGGAGCACCTCCAGTGTGGCAGCCTTCGTGTGAAACTCGTTTCACTGACGTCCTTCAGCGAGAGGGGCTGCACCCAGGGGGCTCAGCAGTGAGCCTTGGCTTGGCCATTTGAGTGGTGCTGTAGGTTCAAACACGGCTTTGCTATCTTAACTCCTGACCCTGCCTTCTACCTCTCTATCCACACCAGGGCCAAGGGGTGGGTCTGGGGCCCAAAAGGAGGCTGTCACAAAGGAAATGACATCTGGGTTGGGCTGTAACGGGCCAAGCGAAAGGTGCTTATGAAGTTGAGAGAACTGCCGAGCAAGGGTGGGAGTGGCATAGGCTTCGTGGCTCATCCCCGGCGTTGCCCTCGCATGGTTATGGCTTATTAGTTCATACCCCACCCCTTAGTACAGCGCAGAGCCGTCCAGAGGCTTTGCAGGCTGCAGACAGACCTGGTGGACAGTCCGGGTTCTCCCTTACCCCTGGTTTATTCCTGGCTTCCATCTTCCTCCAGAGCCCTCCGGACCAAGGCGAGGCCAAGAGTGCTCAGGCAAACCCGCCAGCTAAGATGCTGCCACCCAAGCAACCCATGTATGCCATGCCCGGCCTGGCTTCCTTCCTGACGCCCTCCGACCTGCAGGCCTTCCGCACTGGAGCCTCTCCCGCCAGCCTAGCCAGGACGCTGGGCTCCAAGGCTCTGCTGCCAGGCCTCAGCACATCCCCCCCACCACCCTCCTTCCCTCTCAGCCCCTCACTGCACCAGCAGCTGCCCCTGCCCCCTCACGCACAGGGCACCCTCCTCACCCCCCCTCTCAGCATGTCCCCAGCCCCTCAGCCTCCTGTCCTGCCTGCCTCCATGGCGCTCCAGGTGCAGCTGGCGATGAGCCCCTCACCTCCAGGGCCACAGGTAAGCAGGACTAAGCAACATCCTCCTGTGACTCTTACCAAGAGAGAAAGCAGCTGGTGGGGCGCATATCCTGGCCGGGCCGCTCACCAACTGTGTAACATTGGTCATGGCACCGTACCTCTCTGAGCCTCAGTTTCCAATTCTCTGAAATGGGTCTAGAACACCTGCCCTGAGAGACACTGGGTACCTCGGGCAGTTGACTAGTTGCCAGCTAAGTTTTGTTTCAGAACCTTCTCTTAGATCACTGTGACCTCTGCCAGATTGTCCCAGCTCCTTGCAATCTCCAAAGCCCCAACCTCCAATGACGGTTCCACAAATAGTTCCAAGACATGCATCACAGCACAGTAACCCCATTTTACAGATTGGAAAACTGAAGTCCAGTAAAGGAAAAAAAACCTAAAGCAAAGTCACCCCTTCCCAGACTCAGCTGAGACAGGGGTTGGATCTTCTTTTTCACGCTTTCTTTTCTTCTTTTCTCTGTCTTGCTGGGATGGAAGCCAGGACATCACATGCCAGGCAGGTCTAGTCCATCACTCGGCCCCACAGTCAGCTCAGATTGACTTTTCCCAAAGATCTTCCACCAGGGAGAGGCAGAGTGGCCATTCGGTGTGGACCCAGAGCATGTCTCTGAAGTGTAGACACCCTCAAACACACAAAGATGATGTCAGCTACTGGAAAGAGGCCCCCCTTTCTCTCTCCTCTGCTCACCGCCCCCTCCTTCCCCTGTAGGACTTCCCACACATCTCCGAGTTCCCCAGTGGCTCAGGCTCCCGCTCACCTGGCCCATCCAACCCTTCCAGCAGCGGGGACTGGGATGGGAGTTACCCCAGCGGGGAGCGCGGCCTCGGCACCTGCAGGTCAGTCCTCCCCAGACCTCCTTCCCTCTCCATTCCTGATAGGGGCAGGGGAGGACAGGGAGGCACTGGGGGACTGTGAAGTAGTCACCATCAGCCCAAGTGGTAGACGCTCAGAGTACAGGGAGCCACACAGAGCAGAGCAAAGCCCAGCGGGGCTCAGCTAACTGGATACCCAGGCCATTTGGGAAACTGAGGCTGGCCCTGGTGCATGCCTTTTCTCCCACATTTTCATAAATGGAGAGTGAGGTGTGGGTATTTAGTGGGCAGCGGCATCTCCATCACCAGGCAGTGTGCACCCCACCCCTGGCCACCAGCATTTCCGCATGGGCTCCTGGCTTTGCCCAGCCTGCTAGTGGGAACCCTGCCCTCGCTTCCGCCTCTGACCTCCCAGGGAGAGTCTTTGTCGGTGTGCAGACTCGGTGGGCTGGAATCCCCTCCATTGCCCAAGCAGGCACAGACCCTCCTCCAACCCTTTCCCTTCCATGGTTTCCCTTCCCAAAAGTCAGGGCCAAGGAAGAGTAAGTACTTTGTATCTGAACTTCCTAAGGTTGTCCCTTCTCCTCTGAGTGAGAATGCTTGGTCTACAGCAGCCTGTTCTAGTCTTTCTTATTAAATGTGGAGTCTTTCTATGTAGCCCAGGCTAGCTTTGAACTTGTGAGCCTCCAGCCTCATCCTCCCACAGGCATCGGCCACCATATTTGGTTTGAGGAAGGTGTCTGCCTTCCTGTAGTTCTGTTTGAAATGTACAAATGATGCTGTTCTGATTAACAGCACGCATGGTGTGGGGGTGCCTGAGGCGTATCTCCCTCGTGTTTGCCAAGGATGCATGAAGCCCCAGGTTCGATTCCCCAGCACCACCTAAACCTGGTGTGGCGATGCATACCCAGTGGGATGGAAGCCTGAGAATCAAAAGTTCTAGGACATCCTCAGCTACGGGCAGCCTGGGATACATAAGATCCTTCATAAGCAGACATGAAGCAAATTAAACAAACAAACAAGCTAGATGGTCCCTGGTCGAATGTCAGGAGGGGTGCTTGGTTCTGCTTGATAGGCAGCCCCTCCTTCAACCTTAGGGAAAGCCGATCAGAAGGAGGGACACAGGCCCAGGGCACCAGGGCTCCTGTGGCTGACAGCCCCCTACTCTCTCCTGCAGCCTGCTCCCCAGGGATAAATCGCTCTACCTCACCTAATCCCGCCTCCCCTCCCTCCCTGAGGCTCTCCGGAGGGCACTGCTCTGAGCTGGAAGGGCTGACCACAGGAGAGAGGCCATGGCAGCAGGCAGGGTGACCGGCCAGCAGTGACACACCTATGCCCCAGGGCTGAGTATCTCCCTCGACCTCCCACCAGACTCTGCAGAGGCAGCCCACCGCCCACCACCAGCCCAAAGAACCTGCAGGAACCTTCTGCCCGCTGACCTGCTTGCTCCAGGGTAGCTGTGGACCCCACTCCTTGGCCTGCACTCAGTTCCCTGCGTCTGGACTTCTGGCCCCAGCCCAAGCTCACCGGGCTGCCCCCCCTCTCGAGGTTGCTTAGCAACAGACACCCACCCCAGATGCTGGGCCAGCCACAGGTGTGTTCTCGGTGGTGTACACAAAAGATCCTGAAACCCACGCACTGTGGGTTCCGTGTAAGTAGTTCACTGTTTTAGAACTGTGCTGAAGACATCTGTAAGATTATTTTGTGGGGAGAAAGAAAGTTTCCTTTAAGGTAAAAAAACAAAACAAAGCATTTTATAAGACCTTTAGCACATTTTTTTTTAAGTTTTATCTTAAGGGAGACAGGCACAAACAGCTGTCAAACTGATTCTTATCTGCACACAGAGAGAATGGGAGCTTTTAAAGCCACACCCAGGGACATTCTCCCCCTCCTCCTCTCCCTCCTCTTCTTTTTCCTCTTCCTCCTCTTCCCCCTTCTCCTCCTTCCTCTCCTCTTCCTCCTCCTCTTCTTCATGTTCTTCTTTTTCCTCCTCCTCCCTTCTTCTTCCTCTTTTTCTTTTTTTTTGATCATATATCCACCTATTTAAAATCTCCAGCAACAATTTTGGTCATCTATTTATGAAGAAAAGTTGAGAACTATGGTGTGGTTTCTCCTAACTTGTGTGTGGTTTGGGGTTTGGGTTTGGCTTAGGCTTTGGTTCATGTTGTTCGTAGCTGTCTCCTGGCCCTTGCAATGTCTGTCCTGGTGCCCCAGTGCTTCCCTCAGACCTCTTTGTAATAAAACTCCTGAAAAGTGGCAAGCAACCCTGTGCCGTCCAGTGGTTTTTCACCCAGGCCCAGTTACCCTATTCCCAAAACCAGATAAAGGAATGGTACACAAATGCCCTTGATGACACAAATATAAAACCTTGCAATACAGTTTTTGCAAATAGAATTTAAGAACACATTAGGGGCTAGCAGGATGGCTCAGTTGGTAAAGGTGACAATCTGAGTTTGAACCCAAGACCCATATGGTGGACAGGAGGAACTGATTCCTGGAAGTTGTCTTCTGACCTCTACACACAAATAAATAATGTAACTATAACTGTTTAAGGAGATCTAAGAACACATTGAGAGGATCATACATCATGGCCAAGTTACTTTCATTCCATGGCTGCAAGATTGGCCCTGCGTCTGAGTGAAGCCTGGACTCCTGAAGTGGCATGTGCTGGTGGCTTCATTAGGTCCTAGTTTCTTCTGAGGGCAGACTAGGAGCAGAGTCCTGCCAGCCACTCACCAGCATAGGGGCCTGTGTATGGGCAAATACATCCCTGGCCTCAGCTATGGCATAGATGGAAGGAGATACAAAACTCTCAGTTTTGTGGCACAGAGTAATTGCTCCGTAAATCTGTGTTGAAAGGGTGGAGGCTATCATACCCAGTGTGTGAAGGTGCATGAGAGGGCCTTATCTCTACACTTAATTGTCTTCCACTACTCCACCTCCACATTCTATGGCACTGAGAGCTAAGGTTCCAAAATACTACTCCGGGAGGCAGAGAGGTGAGGGGCAGACATGCAGCGTGTAGTACCAAATATAGTGGGTGTTGTTGATGTCCCCCAGGTCTCCCTTATTGGCAACCGTTTCCCCTCATAGTGACACCTATGTCCCAGAAAAGGACAAAGAGCTCCCGGAACTGCCCACAGCTAATGGTCTCAGCAGTAAGACGCCTCGCTGTGGAGGTCGCGTGAGCAGGATCACAGGAGCCTGGTCCTCCCTTAGCTGCTGGCCTGCTGCCCCAATGCCTCCCTCCTCTCTGAGAGCCCCATTCAACCAGACTCTACATCTGACACGTCTGAGTTCACGGTCACAGTAGGACCACATCTACGGTGCCCACAAATAGAGTTGTTTCTGCACATACAAATGTCATCCTGTGAACCTCAGCCCGAGTCTCAGCCTTGGGAAGTAGAGTCCATACTGTCCACCCCCTTCTTCAGCGATCACAGCCACACCCCATGTGTGTGCTCTGCATCTCACAGCTGTGGCCAGGGTCAGCCTGTGGTCTGGACTTAGGAGCCGTAGCCTGTCATTGAGAAAACCCTGAACAGCTGCTGCGGCCTGTCTCCACGGCTCCAGAGCCTCCTTTCCTAAAGCCAGACTCCTGCTTGAGTCCCTCTGTCCACCCTTCCCTACAGCCAGGGGGAGACCCCAGCAGGAGACAACTATTCCTGCCGTCTCCTACCCCACAGCAAGGCTTGGCTGGCCCTGAGATGGTCCAGTGACCTCGTTCTTCAGAAGAGACCCAGAAGATTATTCATATTAGAGTATGGGCATCACACACGAGCATTTTCAGTGTTCACTAATTCAAACTCAACCTGCTTGTTCATCAAGAATGAAACTGAGAGCCACCCTGCCTGTCCCCACAGGGCCTCAGGGACACCAATCAGAAAGGAGCACAGATTTCATCTCTAGTGGCTTTAGAAACACTAATGCTGTTTATAGAGTTGTAACCTTATATACTAAGTACATATACAGAAAATTAAAAATACTAACCATGTGCCTGCTGCAAAAGGGGAATGAGGAAAGGGCAGAGATGTTCAGTCCACCTGAGATCTTGACAATTTCCTTGGGGAGGTGGCATCTGAGATGTGTCTGAACCAGAGATTAGGGTTTGGGTGGCAATGAAATTTGGTTAGGGTTAGGTTTGGACTGAATTTAGAATTGGAGTTGGGGTTGAGCTAGGGTTAAAGAATGAGGTTGAGGTTGAATTGGAGTTACAGTTGGGATTTTGGTTGAATTAGGGTTGGAGGTGGGGTGTATTGGCCTTGGGGTTGGGCTAGAAATGGTGTTGTGGGTTGGTGTCAGAGTTAGTACCGGGGTTTAATTAGCTTAGGACTGTTGTTGGGGCTAGGGTTAAGGTTCCATCTAAGGTACCATCAGGATTGACACTTGGCTCCAGCCTGCTGGATCTCCCATTCTCAGACCTCCAACCTGCCTGGCTCTATGACAAAGGTCCTCGTCAAGGATTGTGGAGCCCACATTGCTGTAGGAGGCTCTTTCATCTGGAGCAGGTCAGTTACCTCTGTTGGGATACAGTGCTTATGGTTTCCTGCACCTCCAGACATCTCTTCTGGGGCCCAGGCCTTCACTAACTGCACAGTGGTGATGGTGGGATGTGGCATTTGTGTGTGGTGTGAGAGCAGAGATGGTAGGAGGTGAGTAAACTTCCTATGTGTTTCCCATGTGAGGTAAGGATGCACCCAGATGGCATGTGTGCATTTGTATGCAACACTGTACGTGTGATGCCCATGTGCACTGGTGGTAACCCAGACATTCACCTGCCTCTGCCTCCCTAGTGCTGGGATTAAAGTGTGTACCACCATACCTGGTGAGTCTGCCTTTTAATCAATTAATTTGTATTTCCATATACCAGTATGTCGAGCTTGCGCCTTCTTGATGCTCCTGCCCTCGCCTCGCCTCTCCCCCACATTAGTCCCCTCTGACCCCTAAAGAGTTTCAGTCCCACTTTCGTGTCATATACCATTCATGATTTTATGCAGCTATATGAAACAGAGAGAGAAAGCATCTGCTATTTGTCATCCTGAGACTGACTTCATCCACTTAACGTGATTGTCTCCTTCTGCGTACATTTTCCTGCAAATGCGCCTTCTTGGCTCCAGCGGGGCCACAGGTATTGCCAAAGTTCCCTTTGCTTTTAGGAACTGTGCTTTCTCCGCCGATGGACTCCCTTTTCTAGCTTCACCTCTGACCCTTTTCTATTTTTGCATCTCTGTTGTGATGGAGTGCATCCCCCACTAGCTTTCTAAAGACTAACTCTACACAAAAGACTCCTTGTTTCCATGTAGGCGGCCTCCAAATGTGCTGGGATTCTTGACTCAGCTGACCAAATACCTCCACCAGCAGGAGAAGATCCTTCCCCTTCCCACATGCCCTCTCTGTACCGTTCATCTTCATGATGTCCTCGCCCCTGCCCTTCTATCCTCCTCCATCCTCCTGGCCCTCTGCACCTCTGTCCCTGCACCTCGCCCTTGGAGTCTCTCTGTGTGTACAAATCTCATCTCCTAAGGAAATCAGACGGATGGAGTCCAGGCCCACACTCTCAGCCTTGTCTAACTTAACCGCTCTTGAAAGCCCCATCCGTAAGGCTCCGCAATCTGAGACCTTTTTCGGTGTGTGAATTTGGGAACACTCGATCCCTTCCTTAACAGTGTGAGGCATAACAATGACAGACGTGAACCCTGCACGACAAGGCCGCCTCCCCACATCTCCAGCATGACAGCCATGGCTATCTTTCCTGCTCCCCTCCCAGACTCCACTGTCACATTCTAAAATGCCAGTAGAACTGTGCCAATAAACTGTGTGAGCACAGGTGGACTTACAAATCCAGTGGGTCAGGACTGGGCAGTCCGCAGAAAGAAAGCAGAGAGCTTAGTGAAGACGGTGGCTAAGGGGAAACACTGCTCTGCCAAAAGCGTGTTTATATCCAGTGTGCTTTAAGACATCCGCTAGCCACACACAGAAAGAAAAACTCCAAGCTTGCCATCCCCATGCAGCCATAAGCACCTCTTCTGCCTGACCTCCTTCAAGGATGTGGTTAAAGGTGCGTTTTGAAGGCAGGTGCACAGACCTGATTTTGAATCTTGGATTTAAAAGAAAAGTTATTTTAATTTTGTGTGCATTGACTTTTATCTGCATATATGTCTGTGAGAGGGTGTCAGATACCCTAGAACTGGAGTTACAGACAGTTTGTGGGTGCTAGGAATTGAATTGGGGTCCTCTGGAAGAGCAGCCAGTGCTCTTAACCTCGGAGCCATCTCTCCAGCACACTTTTAATTATCAGCTTGTTTTATGTGCTTGGGTATTTTGCCTGTGTATGTATCTGTGCACCGTGTGTGTGCCTGGTAACCTTGGAGGCTAGGGAGAGGGTGTGGAGCTAAGGCTACTCAAAAAAAATCAGTAGCCCTATTTATATAGACGATAAATGGGCTGAGAAAGAAATCAAAGAAACATCACCTTTCACAATAGCGAAAAATAATATAAAATATCATGGGGGTAATTCTAAGCAAACAAGTGAAAAACCTGTATGACAAGAATTTTAAGTCTTTAAACAAGGACATTAAAGAAGATGTCAGAAAATGGAAAGATCTCCCATGCTCTTGGTTAGGTAGGACCAACATAGTAAAAACAGCAATCTTACCAAAAACAATCTACAGATTCAATGCAATCCCCATCAAAATCCCAGCACAATTTTTCACAGATCTTGAAAAAACAAAATCCAACTTTATATGGAAAAACAAAGAACCCAAGATATCCAAAACAACCCTGTACAATAGAGGAACTTCCAGAGGCATCAACATCCCTGACTTCAAGTTCTACTATAGAGCTGTAGTAATGAAAACAGCTAGGTATTGGCACAAAAATAGGCAGGTAGAGCAATGGAATTAAATTGAAAACCCTTATATTAACCCACACACCTATGAACACCTGATTTTTTACAAAGAAGCTAAAATTAAACAATGGAAAAAAGAAAGCATCTTCAACAAATGGTGCTGGCACAACTGGATGCTGGCATGCAGAAGAATGCAGATAGATCCATATCTCTCAACACACACAAAATTTAAGTCCAAATGGGTCAAAGACCTCAACACAAATTCAAACACACTGAACCTCTTAGCCGGGTTTTATTTTTAGTCTTTTAGAGCGAGTCTGTGCTCATGTGTGGAGCAGTTGCGCCTCTTGGTGGTAAAAATTAAGAACTGCACTTTAAATAAATAAATTGCTCTCTGGGTGAAAGAATGCATTGAGA